TACTGAAAGACTGTACTACCTATCGTCTACTAAAGAAGGACCCAACACTGAAGATCAATGGGATCTTACGGTACGTGCTGACAGATATTCATAGGAACGGCGAGATCAATGGATAGACAATAAATTCACTAATGAAAAAGGATGCACGTCCACCAACAGCCTACGGGTCACCGAAGTCACACAAAAGAGGAGAACCACTAAGGTTGATAGTTGACAACAAGTTGGAACAACATACAAATTGGCCAAGTTCATATATCTACAACTCAAGAAGGTAAGCGACAGATTATCAAACACAGTGAAGCATTCATATGAATTTTCCCAGGGGATCGAAAATAGAACACTGGAAGAAACAGTATTACTGGTAAGATTCGTACTCAAACATTTCTGGAGAAAAAGTGCTGACGGTTATGTTAGACATTTCGGATCAAGAAGACGGTATCCTAAAAGCAGAGTATCACAAGAGAGTGGTTAACCCGACTAATCAACTTGATAATAAGTACTATCTACTTCACATTCAATGGCGACATTTATGAACAGGCATTTGTACTTCTTATGCAATCATCTATCTCACCTCTATTGGCAAATGGGTGTATGGATAAATTAGAAGATAATTTAAAGGTGTCACTGCTGCGGTACCTGGATGACTACTTTGCAATATGGTCGCATGGAAGAGAAAAATTGGAGGATTTCATCAAGTTTATGAACGGGGTTGATGAAAAAATGCAATTCACAATGGATGAAGAGGGAGAGAGGCGTTTGGTCTTCCTAGGTGTGGAGCTCATTCGCTCTATTGGGACACTCAAGAGGAAGTTGTTGCGAAAGAAGTCATATGCCGGAATAATACTCAATTTTAAATATCATCACAACTACAGAATGAAGATATGCATACTGACGAGCATGATCTTCAGAAGCCTACGATTAACGGATGTGGAATTCTAGGATAAAGAATAGGAAAAATTGGCTCAAATATCCCTCGGGAACGTATACCAGAGAGAAGTAATTCAAAGAAACATACCGACCATGAAGGACCGAGGGCAGAACGGCGATTATGAAAGAAAGGTAAAGATGGAGAAAGACTCACATAAGTGGATATGTCTCTTTTTCTGTTAACTAGCTCAAAAACTACGAACAATATTAGGAAAATGAAATATTCAAGTGACCACGAAAGAAAAAACAACACTCTTCACAAGTCCACCCACGCAGCATGAGAGGGTAGATAAATTGGATTGCTCATGAGTTTACTGCATAGCATGTGGCGTCTGCGAACAGAAATAAATGGGCGAAACTGGGAGAAGAATCGACATACGAATCAAGGAACATCAAAGACTCTGCAGGAAAATGGATACCGGAAGATCAGAACTAGCGAAGCACATCGCAGGGATTGGAGGCTAGATCAATTGGAAGGCAACAGAAAGAAGGGTTCCATACGGTGACAACACAAAGAAACGGAAGATTATGGAGGCAATTGACATCCTTGGGGAAAAAATCTAATGAACAGGAGATTGGAGGAAGGTAGAGTTGGCGATAACTTTGCCTAGTTTGCATGCAAACTAGGGAGAAACAAGAATAGAGCAAGAGCAGCACAAAGTAGACGCCTGGATCAGGGATCTATCGTGAACGAGAGGAAGTGGGATCGCAATGAAGAAGAGGATGAGGAGAGTAGTCAGCTCGAATAAACAACTAGAACTTGGAGGCCCGACATTTCAGGTGACCAAATTGACAAATACTCCACTCGAGATGCAGCAGGCGACCAGAGATGGGTGTCCACAGTCTGCTCAGGGTACACGGGCTCAATGGAGGCGATGATGCGTGAAGGTAATGCCGAATATCCGCAGGCATGGGAATCTGAGCCTAGGCGCTCTGAAGATAAGGCGACTGTGTACGTGCTACTGGAGGCTTGAGAAATAGCACTTGGAGCAAAAGTAGGCTGAGGCTGGAACCGAGTGAAATCGGTCAAGCGGAAAGATAAGAAACGGACCTACGGGCGCATGAGGCAGATGCGGACAGGAGACTAAAGTAGGATGAGCCACTCGAAAGGTAGGGGACAAGGCAGGCAGCAGGTGTGATGACGCCACGGTGAATTGGCCAAAAGCGCACATCTCTTGAGGAATGTAAACATGTCAGTTATGATAGGACGAGGGTGAGACAAGAGGGCAGGAAATGGATAGAGGGAGCAGGACAGAACGAGGAGTGATAGCACAACCGTTTACACAGAAAGTTGGTCAAGGGATTTACTTCACTTGTCTCTTTGACCAGTTGTAGCTAGGTTTGTTGAAAATGGCAAGACTGGCTAATGATGCCGGTGAGACGTGTGGCAATGTACCAAGTCCACGGTCCGACTCTGGAAATGATCATGCATACTATGGACTCGGGACAAGGTGATTTCCTCTACGTCTTTCTGATAATATAACCAAGTTACGGAACCAAGATGAAAAAACTTTTATATAATGAAATGAGACAGCGACCATACCTTCGACTAAATATCTCTTTATAAGATGCATTCACCCAATTTCGTTTAGGGTAGTAGAATGGTCCCACAATGATATAAGTAGAACTGATGTTACCATTCAATTTCACATAGCCTTGCTTTCCCAAAAGTTGTTCTCCTCCCGGCTGGAGTGGACTGAAGTTTCGACCTCGCCTCGTTCTTATCAACACCCCCAGCGGGAGTCGAACCGTGTTAGTGCAGAATGTGAGCTCGACGCGTTAACCACTCGGCCACATTGCCTTGAGCGTTATTGTGTCACAGGGCAGGTGTGAATTTCAATGGAGGCCAGGCCTTTTGCTATATCACATTCTTTGGTGGGATTGTCGATGAAGCAAACGTATATTTGCCATAACAATCGACTACGATACTTATATTTGCCAGCTTTAGTTAGTTTAGCAACTGGGCCCTACCGACAGTACGAGCGTTATGAAATTGATACTGGCTGCCTCATCTATGAGAGTATTTATGTTGCTTTGACATGCCGGAAGAAAACACGACAACGGTAGTAGAGTAGAAAACTACACAATCTGACTGTAAACGACAACGGATGCGCGAGAATTAGGCTAGATCGAAATTGTAGTCCATTCCAATCTGGATGAGAATACCTTTGGGGGAGGCAAGGCTAAGTGAAATTCGATGGAAGCGCCATGCTTACTCATATCATTGTGAGAAAATCATACTACCAGTCCTACATCACCTTGAGTGAAATAGGGTGGACACATCTCATTAGCCAATTGAATGGGTTTATAAATGTGCCTGGTAGTCGAAACCACTATTGGATGAGAGTGTACTTTTAGGTAAATTAAAGAAATGCGGGTTTCGAAGAATCGCCTGAGATGAGATTTTTGTGAAAACTTTCATTTCATGTGAAAATGCATGACGGATCCATAGGCCAATCTCTTCAAAATACGCCGGCTGACTCCTGTTGCACTGCAGCCGTTTGATTTTAATACGAAGTTCAGGTTGATGCTGTCCACGAGCCCGCCTTCGCCCGAAACATTGGAGGATGTCTTATCTAAAAAGATTTTTCGAAACATGAATTTTCTTTCTTCACAGTACTCCAGTAAGATCATTAACTTCCTATAATTCTTTAAACCGGTTTTCAACACCCTCGAGACCATTTTATTTTTAAAATCGATCTTAAAATTAGTTATTAACAACATATAAGTAAGCTCTTAAATTTTCATCAGAGCTTGAATCATTTAAAATCATATAAGGTTATTAAAATTAGTATTAAATCTCAAGGTGGCAATAACTTCCCGTTAGTCTCGCCA